GGTTTAGGGTTTAAGGTTTGAGGTTGGGTTGGGGTTTAGGGTGTAGGGGCAGTACTAATCTTCGCCGCTTAGTCTGTTTATAAGTATAAATAGTAATCATACCAGTCATACTATCACGCACTAGTCGATGAAGTTTGTTCGTAGTGTTTCTTAGTCAGGGCTTGAACATACTGGCTTGGGGGAAGTCGCAGCTAGAAGAGAGTTTGATATTAGAGTTCCTCACAGCCCGTGATTGATGTGAAAGGTTGTAAGAGGCCTGTAGCAGGGTTAATTCTGACTTACACTAATCATAAGTCGCCTATGCCCTCTTCAGCAGTGTGACGTATATAATGTCCTTCATTGTTGCCTTGCAAAACTATGTTTTCTAGGGTCTCAAGAAAGCATCGCAAATTGAAAGCAGATTCTTGACCCCATCGAGCATTGAGAAGCCCCATGTCGAGAGGCTAGCAAGCATCTCACGAAGCATCTGAGCGGTTTTCGTCCATGCTCAGCCAACCAGCTCATACCCTCACACGCCTCGTTGCAGAGCATCGTGATACCCAGCTCCCCCAATCCGGAATCCCTCAAGAGCCCGAGATGGGCTCCAAGGCCTAAAGCACGAAACCTTGTGTGACTCCATTGCGCTTGATCTTCAATCCCTCGAACCNNGAACCTCAAACTCTAAACTCTAGGCCCTGAACTCGGTTTGTAAACCCGAAGCTGACCAACCTCCATTAAAGTAGAAGCGTAAGGTTGGAATATGAAACAAGTATCATTCATGCCGGCGTTCCTTCTTTATCGGGTCCGGGCTAGGGGGGAGTGATGTTCCAACTTTCTTGCTTCTGCTGCCAACAAGCCTTTAAGCAACAGCTGTATGCCCTTTACCTTAACCATGGACCCTAACCCCGAAACCCCTGAACCCTAAACCCTAAACCCTAAACCCTAAAACCCCTAAACCCATGAACCCTAAACCCCTAAACCCTGAAAGATTCCCGGCTCCAGGGCGTGGCATCTGTTCTTGGCCCGGTCGTGTCTGAACCTGCGTTCCTCAGCGCCACGGAGACTACCAACGCCTTGAAGGTCCGGTTCTAGGGTTTAGGGTTCAGGGTTTATGGTGTGTGCTTAGGGTTTATAAAGCCCCAAGCCCTGAACCCTAAACCCTAAACCCTAAACCCTCCAGCCCTATTAAGCCTGTGGGCTTCAGGGGCGAAGGGTTTGGAGTTTATGGGCTCTGAACCTTAAGCTCCAATATGGGTAGTTCTTAGGATTTACGGTTTAGGGTTTAGGATATAGGATTTAGGGTTTAGGGTTTAGCACGTAGGGTTTAGGGTTAAGGGTTTATGAAACCCTAAACCCTAAAGCCCTATGGGCTTCAGGAGCGGAGGGTTTGCAGTTTATGGCTTTGGTCGATGGACCATTCGTTGACGACCGCCGAGGGTCTTGGAGCCTCCTTCCTGAACCCAGAGCTCCCATATGTGTAGTTCTGTAAGCCAGGGTCCCTTTTAAGGGTCCGTTTTAGGGTTGACGCTAAGGATAAGGGTTATCTATAAGGGTACTATAAGGGTGCTATATGGGTAGCTCCAGAAGTTAGGGTCCGTTTTAAGGGTCCTGTTTATAAGGGTGCCGTACTATTTTTGGGGACCTAAAACAGGGACCCTCATTTTGAGAACTATCCATATAGAATCGAAGCAACACAAAGACTACTCCTTGGTGTCTGGAATGCCCAAACCCTAAGCCCAAATAGTAGAATTCATCGACCTCAGACCTCTATTCTGATTATCTTGAGGCCACTGACTTAAACCCTTAACCTCCCAAGCGGGTCGTGGGTTGGGGCCAGGAAATGTAGCGGAAACACCTAGAATCCCCTTATAACTACAGTATAATGTAATGCATAACGCCTTATTCTAAACACCAAGGCCCCACCCTAAACACTAAACCCTAAACCCCTAAACCCTAAACCCTAAACCCAATGTTTTTTGTTTTGTGTGTGTTTGTGTGTGTGCGGCAGGTAGCGGCCGCCTCCAGCGACGCGGACCGAATCCTCAACGCTGTGGATGCTGCACTCTCGGTGCCCTGGTTAGGGTTTAGGGTTTAGGGTTTAGGGTTTAGGGTTTAGGGTTAGGGTTTAGGGTTTAGGGTTTATAGGGTTTATAGGGTTTATAGGGTTTACAGGATTTTTAGGTTTTAGGGGTTTAGGCCCGGTTTAGGGGTCAGGGTCTAGGGCTCATGGACTAATATAGGCCATATAGGCGCTTTAATAATTACCTACAGTATTCTTGGGGTTCCTGAATATAATTATAGTATAATCTGCCCTAAAACCCTGTTCTAATTCATAAGGCCCCTACATTAGCGTTTAGGGTCTAGGCTTGTCCATGATGTGCAATACACGTCCTCACATCCCGGAAAACATTGATCGCGCAGCCCCTCCTAAACACAAAACGCTAAACCCCAAACCTGAAGCTATCCAAAACAAAAAGCAAGCGTGTTTCTGTGTGCTTGAGAATTGGCGAGTTTTTGCATAAAAGACAATAACCCCTAAACCCTAACCCCAGGAGAAACCAAAGACAAAACCTTCCTTCTTCCGAGCTGTCCCGGGCTTTCCGCAGAGAGCGCAGGTACCCGTCTCCGAGGCTTTCGAAAGCTCACTTCTTGAGGCGATGGAGGCCGGGACAGAGGTGTGTGGGTGTGCAGATGGTATGTATATATAGCTATATCCATATCTTTACGCGTATCTGTTTCTATATATTTATATCGATGTCGATATCTATACCTTTATCTTTATCTGCATCAATTTCTGGGTTGATTTCTATACTTACATATACATTTGTTATAGCGATATCCCTATGATGTCTATCTATGTTGTCAGTATCTCTATCTGATATATCTGTATCTGCATCTTTTCGTTTGTCTATCTGTACATCCGTGCCTATACCTATATGTATGTCAGTCCCTACACATATCCCAGTCCATATTTATGTCTACACCTGTATCTGTATGTATATGAGGGTTGATCGTTAACCCAGGCTCGCGACTCACCTGAGGCGAGCTATTCTGAGGCCCTATAGATATAGTGTTGAGAAATTCGTAGAAGCACAAGAACGAGCAAGATTGAGCGTACGAGTGCCTGTTACAGCACTACTCATCGACACAATGATATGGATCAGCCCCCTGCACGTATAGTTCTGGTAAAAGAGTCCTTTGCTGTTTCTGTTGTGTGTGTATACACATCTACACACATACTGGCATCATGCATACGTACGTAAGTACACATACATACATACATGCATACATACATACATACATACATACATGCTTGCATGTATACGTACATGCATACATACATACGTACATACATACATACATACATGCATACATGCATACATGCTTGCATGCATACAAAAATACTCACATACATACATACATACATACATACATACATGCATACATACATACATACATACATACATGCATACATACATACATACATGCAAGCGCACATACCTACCTACATGCGTACCTGCATACAGATCTACATAGGTACGTGCGTACATACATGTATACATACATAGGTGTGTAAATATATATATACATATTTATATATATATATATATACACACACACACACACATTCACACATATATACACATGCACGTGCGCATGCACATGCACATGCAATAGTTCTCGCACCCAGGTTGGTATGTGTGTATGCATGTATGTGTGCATGTATGTACGAGCTTCAAGCTTACTATTTGGTTTGCTAATTAGTGGGGTTGCTCCATCACATTTGCTATCATTGTTGTCGTTTGTATAACTCACGACTATCAGTCTTTGCGTATGTGTGTGCTGATTTGTGCTGGTGTTTTTGCAGTGCTTCATTGAGGTTTGAGGTCTAGGGAGGGTCTCCAGGGAGTGTTGTTCAAGCAGGGTTGAGGGTCTCCGTTCCTGCTATGGTTTGCGGTTGAGGGCTTGGGTTTAGGGGTTTAGGATTTAGGGTTGAGGGTTTAGGAGTTCAGGGGTTTAGGGTTTAGGAGTTTCGGATTTTAGGATGTCTAGGGTTCAGGGTTTTAGGGGTTTAGGGCCTCACCAATCCCTCAAACTTAAAGCCTGAAGCCTTGAAGCCCTGAAAAGTCGGGAACTCTAAACCCTAAGCCCTGAGCCGACTTTGAACCGCTTGGGTGTTGAGAGGGGTTTCGGGTCTAGGGCTCAGGGCTCAGGGTTCAGGGTTTAGGGTTTAGGGTTTAGGGTTTAGGGTTTAGGGTTTCGGGTCTAGGGCTCAGGGTTCAGGGTTTAGGGTTTGGGCCCCAGGCTGGAGGGGCTCCTAGGCCGGAGTTTAGGGGTTTCGGGTCTAGGGTT